GAGTCGAGGAAAGCTAATTTTGTGGGACTGGATTGGTGACTATAGGGGTAGATGTGTTCATCGAACACGACATGACGGGATATTATGACTTTGTGAGTTTGGAGATCAAGACAAGGGTACCCGCGCTGGTTTGGCGGGTACCCAAGGAAGACACATTAGGCCGAGTGAGGGGCGAGTTTGTGGGGAGCGATAGCAGTTATATTTGGGTAACAGAGGCAACCGAATACTCGAAGGTGAGAGTAGGTGGGGGGTTGGCCATAGAAGACCTCGTGAGGAGTGCAGAAATTGAGGATGGTGGTGGGGAGGATATTGAAAAGATGAGTGGCCATGTGGAGAGCTTCGACCCAAAAGGTGGGTGGGAGGTTGGCTTGAAAGAGGAGAGAGTGAACAATGTTGTTGAGAGTGTGGATGGTGCGTTCGGCTCGACCATTTTGTTGGCTAGTGTGGGGGCATGAAAAAAGGAAGATGCCCAGACTTTCAAAAATAGTCTTGAGGGGGGTGTTTCGGTATTCGGTGCCATTGTCACACTGAATAGCTTTAATTGTGGAGTTAAATTGATTTTTCATAAAAGCAATGAAGTTTTTGAGGTGAGAACACACATCAGATTTATGCTTTAATGGAAAAATCCATAAATAATGAGAATAATCATCCAACAATAATATATAATGTTTAAAGCCTGTAATACTGGGAATGGGAGATTGCCTCAAATCAGTATGAAGAAGTTGAGAGGGAAAAGTAGAAATACGACTCGATGACATAAATGGGAGGCGAACATGCTTTCCTAATTGACACGCATGACATAAAGAATTCTGAAAATGTTTATTAAGACACTTAGATAAAGACGGGACTCCACGAAGGACAGTGTGGCTGGGGTGGCCAAGACGCCGGTGCCATAGTTCTGGATCAGTGGTGGTAATGTTGGCTTGGGCCTTGGTAGCTTGTGGGCTCATAGGGTAGAGTGGGCCGACATCATTGGACCGATGAATCACGGACCCTGTCTGCATATCCTTCACAGAAAAACCAATTGGGTCAAATTCAACGGTACAATTATTGTCACGGGTGAATTGTCTAACGGATATGAGATTATGGATGATATGTGGGGATATAAGGATATTATGTAGGGACAAAGTGGGGGAAGTGGGAAAGTGATAGTTACCGGTAGCCGTAGTGCGAACCTTGGAACCATTACCAACAGTAATATAGGATGATGAATTTAAAGAATGAGAATGAACATGAGAAAGTGTACCTTGATCGGAGGCAATGTGGTGGGATGTGTGGGTGAGCGCCGGTGTGACCAGCCGAGAATAGGGCTGTGCCAAGGGATGAATAGGCGCTGTCCAAATCTGATTGCTGGCGCTCCAGGAGAAGAAAGGCTGAGCATGTTTGAAGAAACGTCGATAGAGGAGTTTGAAATTGGAGGAAGGAGGTTTGATTCCGCATGTCGTCGGGCAGCCCCCGAAGTACCTGCAACACCAACTGTTGTTCCGAGACGGGGGCATCTACGTCATCCAACCAATCGGCTATATTCTTGAGAGTTTGACAATAAGCCGATATGGAGAGCGAGCCTTTATTCGTTGTCCGAAATTGGTGCTCCAATTGCATGGCCCGGGCCGGTTTATTGTCATGAAAAAGAGAGTGAATGGATCGCCAAAGTTCGGAGGTCGAGTCGGTAGAGGAGAGGACAAGGTCGGATACCTCGTCGTTGATTGTGGAGAGGATCCAACCCTGGATAAGAGCATCGAGTTGGTACCAATAGGTGTTGTCATCATTGGAGGGGACCGACTTTCCGGTGAGAAAGTCACCGAGAGAGAAGCGCTAAACCAATAGGAGAAATAGGCGGCTCCATTTTTTGTAATTCGGCTTCGTAAAGCTTAAGAGAATCGGAACGTGAAGTTTCAGGTTCGAGATGGTCGTGAATGCCAAGTGAGGAGTTGAGACCGGGGAAGGAGACTTGTCAGAGGAAGGCTTCTCGGCCATGGTGAGAAGCTGCTGGTGCGTCGGTGGGAAGGACGCGGCTGGTGTGTCGGTGGCGCTGTTGGGAAACGGCAGTCGCCGGTGGGGGGGACGCCGAGCAGAGAGCTGCGACATTTGGGTTGAGGGGGTGCGGCTGAGAGACGGCGCACGAGGGAGAGGGATATTTTAGGTTTTAGGCCACGGAAAGAGGCTCCGATACCATAAAGAATAATGATTTTCAATATTGATCTCGGAGGTCAAGCCTCGAATATATTCAAGATACAAGTCTCCTAATTATGGTAGGATATAAATGCAATCTTTTTGTACAAGGGAAACTACCAAATATATAATAATATATTAAATATAAAACATATATTTAACAATATATATATATATGTACCGATTCCCGTGAGAATGCACTTTGTGGAGAGAAATGAAAATAAAATCTTGTCGTTGGATCTGATGCATCGTGCGGCTCAGATTGCATCCTACGGTCAACTTTTGAGATAGTGCATTTTCAAAGGGTTTTGGTGCATTTCGACATTTGCATTTTCAAACCACTTTGGTGCACCTAATTTTGATGCAATCCTGACCCTTATATCTGACAATCTAAAGCGCCAAATTCATTCTCATTTCTCTCCTAAGATTGCATTCTCACATAACCTCTATATATATATATATATATATATATATATATATATATATATATATATATATATATATATATATATATATATATGTTAACATCAAAATACTTGGATTTTTCTATCCAAGACTAACAGGCTTAATCTTTAAGGAAATGTGTAATAGAAGCTTTATTTTTCTCAATTTCAATGTTTGATAAATGATAAGACATGAAAACCAAAATCAATGGAAAAGAACCTTTATTCAAATGGAAAATGAACCAACAAATTTGAAACTTATCTTATTTAATTTTTCTAGAAGAATATTCGGCTTGTTAGTTCGCTCTTTTTTCTTTCCTCGCTATGCTCTTTGTTTGGGCCGACTCATTAGGGGGACAAGGAGTCTGACCCGGCCGGGCTCAACAATTTAAAGGGTCTAATTTTTAAAAAATATTATACTACGTATATACATACATACATACATACATACATACATACATATATATATACATACATACATACATACATACATACATACATACATACATATATATATATATATATATATATAGACACACACACACACACACACACACACACATATATATTGAAGCCCAATTCAGCCAAACCCCAAAACTCGGTTCCACAGAAGAAAGCGGAAGTAGACAAACCCCCAAACTAAGCACGAACGGAAATTGAAAAAGACGCCAGAAGGAAGTTGCCGAGAGAGAGTCGCCGCCGACCGCCACCAGTGCTGCAAAGTCTAGCCGCTGCCCGCCAGACGCCGCCTCGCCGGAAACTCTCCAGCCTCCAGGTCCAGGAGTCCAGTTACGAAGGTAAAAAATACCAATTTCAGAATATCTTTAAGAATTTTACAATTTGTTATGTGTAAATATGAAAAATATTTAATCTTTATAAATTTGTGTTATGAATTTGTTATGAATTTTTGTTGTGAATTTGACAATTTGTTATATGAATTTGTCATGTGAAAAATTGAAAATATTTATTTTAAATTTTTGCTAATTGTTATGAATTTGTTGTGAAAATATGAAATTCAATTAATTTAGTAATATGAAGATCTTTTTTTTTGAAAATTTAAAGTTTGTATTTGTGTATTTGATTTAACTAAGATGTGATCAACCAATTTGTTCTAAAAAAATGCAAGGAGAGCTTTACGAATTCTCGGCTAGCTTTTACAGTATGTAATTATACTACTATGATTTTGTCATTTACTTATTTTCTTTTAATACAATTGGGTTAATTGTCATTTAAATATAATTAGTTTACATATTTTAATTGTTTAGGCCAATAGGGAATTAGGCATAAGACTTCTAAAGCCTTTTTTTCCTATCTCGGCTCAAGCCGTTGAAGTCTCAGGACCGGCCCTGCTCTTTGCTCTCTCTTTTTGAAGATGAATCAGAAACTACTTTTTTCTTTGACCTCCATGACAAACTTTCACGGAGGAAGCCAACATTGAAGCCAATCGGAAAGATGAAATATCGACGTTGAAGTCAATTGGGAAGACAAAATAGAAGTAGGTAGACTTTATTAATAGGGTGTTTGGGACAATGGTGTTTTTCAAAGTTTAGCTTCTGCTTTAAGTGCTAATCATTTTATTATGTTTGGCACACCAACTTCTGTTTTTCTTCACCATTATTTTGTACATGAAACATCATTTCGGAGTAGAAGATGAGGGTGTTTGGGATTTCATTTGAAAATAACTTATAACTTCTACTTTACTAAAACATAATTTTAAATGTTTGCTAATCTGCTTTAGCTTAGAAATTATGGCTTTAGAAGCTAAAATTAAGGTCTAGAAGTGCTTTCTAGCAAAGCTAAAATTATATGTTTTCTGCTTCTAAATTATGACTTTTACTATTACATAACTCACAGCATTTCCAAACACCTCGATATATGGTACTTCTGCTTTTAGCTTTTGTAAAAATTGCTTTACTCATAAGTTAATCACTCACAAACACCATCTTAGATGACAAAGCCAAAGCTCATGGTGAAGTTGAAACCGGATTACTCTTTCTTTCCACTTAGGAAGTGGACCAGTTAAAAAACATGGGCCAAATGCCTCCTATCTTTGGACTCCAGCCCAACTCTAATTCTTTCCAGGATTATTACCCCACGCTGATTTCAAAACGTACCGTTCCTTCGTGTTCATCCTCCCGTATTTCCTTTTCTACTCGCCATCTCCAGTTTTGTCTGCTTCTTCATCTTCCCGCGTCATAAAGAATTCTCAGACAAAAAACACCGTCTTGTTTCATATTTATCCGGATACGAAACACAATTAGCATATGTTTTTATCATCAATGGGTTTTCGGTTGATCAAAGTTCTAAATCTGGAACGCGGCTCTAGAGAGTTTAACCCTAATTTTTCGAGGATACGTGTGAAACACCACTCGGCAGAGCCTTTTTCACTTTAAAGGTGAGTGCTTGTCTTGTAATTGTTTCTCAATTTTGTGAATTTGTATATTTTTATTTACAGCATACTGATTAGGCTGGGTAAATATTGTTCTCTTTTTGAGATTGTGTTGCCATTTTTTTGAAAATATGATTGCAGCAAGTATTTTGGATGTTCGCGTTTAACTTTTAATACAGAGTATTTTCTATTACATTCCAGATATTTGCATTTTCTTTCAGTTTGTTATTGCCAAGGCAAAAGAAATTTTTCTGTAGAGATGATGATTTGCTAGTGTAGAAAATTGAACATGTTAAGTTCCTTTTAGAGAGAGAGACAGAGAGAGAGAGAGAGCTTGAGCCCCCCCACCACACACACACACCCCGGGCGGGGATAAATATAAAATTAAAGTTTGTCTTTTGTTAATGGAAACCACAAAATAGTTATTTCTATTGGTATAGGACTATAGGTTAAGTCTTGTGCTCTGCACTTCACTCCCTTCTCATTGTATATTTTACTAGAAGCAACAAGAGATTAAAAACTAAAGCAAATTATAAAGAAATGATAGATAGTTTATAAAACAACACCTTGAAGCTATTTTAATTGTTGTTACTTTTTCTTCACTCAGTTTTGGCATGAAGATACAGTTATTACTAAAAACAACAAAAGACTAAAATTTAAAGCAAAGACTGCTCCCACTTCTCATTGTATATTTTGCTGAAAACAAAAAAAGACTAAACTTTAAAGCGAATTGTAAAGAAATGATAGATACTTTAGCAAAAAAACATTGAGACTATTTTAATTGTGGTTACTTTTTCTCCACTCAGTTTTGGCATGAAGAATTGCAAAGCAAACTGCATTATTAGTTACTACATATAGATGGTTCCTCAAATAGAGTGACAAATGGTACTCAGGAGGTCGCACTTGAAGAGGGTATCAGCCGTGGACATTTGAGGATGGCTGTTATGGAGAAGGATGATGAGGATGCGATTTGCAGAAGAACTAGAGCAAGGTATTCACTTGCTGGCTTTACACTTGATGAACTAGAGACATTCCTTCAGGAAACAGATGACGAGGATGATGTTCAGAATGTTGATGATGAAGAAGAGTACAAAAAATTTCTAGCTGCAGTGTTACAGGGTGTAGAGGGAAACTCAGCAAATGCGCAAGACCATGAGAATGTGGATGATGAAGACGAAGACAATGATGCTGATTTTGAGCTTGAAATCGAAGAGGCATTAGAGAGTGACCTTGATGAAAACCTGAAGGACGATATTGGGGAGGGTAAGGCTATTGAGCAGCGGCCAAAGACTAGGCTTAGTAGGCGCCAAAAATATTCTGTTGAGCATAAGAAGGCTTCTGGAGAATCAACTAGGCAATTGCGCCCTCTTTTGCCATACTCACCCATTGCTATGTACTCTGCATTTACAGGGAAAGGTTGGGTGCCCAGGGCCGCACCAATCTGTATCAGCTCTCCCAATGGACTTATAAATGGATTTACTCCGTATCAGATAGGACAGCTTCACTCCTTAATACATGAGCATGTTCAACTTCTTATCCAGACATTTTCTCTTTGTGTTCTTGACCCTGTAAAACAATACATTGCTCCTGATGTTCATAAATTGATATCTGAATTACTATGTAAGCGAGATCAAATGTTAGCACAGGGAAGGGCACCATACCCCCAAGTGTGCTTCATACCAAAACATATTCATTCATCAATGGATGGTAGTGCTCCTGATATTTTGCCAAGGCGTAATATCAATGGATTGTCTTCAGCCTCTGATATGCAGGGAGATTGCTCTGCTGCATTAAATGGGGTTCAGCCTTCTAATTGTACATCTCCTTCAACAGGACGGTTAGTGTATGCCTCAACCGAGCAGGATGAATGCTTGCGATCTGCCGAAGGCTCCTCCTGGATGCCTTACGTTGGTGATAAAACAGTTACTGTTCTTGATGTGGCTCCTCTCAAGTTGGTTAGAAAATTCCTAGATGATGTGTCCGGTATGTCATGTTGGAAAAATGAATTACACTTTTCACATCCAATTACTTCATGATATTGAATGTGAACTGTTTATTGACCTTTGCTAACAGTTGCACAAGAATGCCAGAGGCGACAACTAGGAGCTACTTGTGATGTTTCTGCTGAAAAAGTTCCCCTCTTTCCTGCGTGTGACACTCAGCTGTCTGCTGAAGCAGACCATCCTGCTCTGCTACCTTCACCCATATCTAAAAAGACACTGGCTGCTTCACTAGTTGAAAGGGCAAAAAAACAATCAATTGCACTTGTTCCGAAGGAGATTGCTAAGTTGGCCAAGCAATTCTATCCGTTATTTAATCCGGTCCTGTATCCTCATAAGCCACCTCCAGCAGCTGTGGTGAATCGGGTACTCTTCACAGATGCTGAGGATAAGTGAGTTTAGATGTATATATACACACGTGTTTATGTTTATCATTGTATGCAATGGTAACTTGTCTACTGCCATTTGGCGATTTCAGAAGTGTAAGAAAAACATTTGGATATTAATTTGGGCTAAGTAGATACATCAAGAACCTGTGAATTTATTTATACATTTTTCCATAACAAAGGTTGGCCATATTCTCCACTTGCTAGTTCTTTGTCCTTTATATTGTTGGAGAAGATCTTAAACTGATTGAAGTGCACAATATGGAATCAGATCTTTTGGCATAGCAGTGCCGTTTGGTTCATAGCTTTTGGATTTGAATATGTGGTAGTTGTTAAACCTGTTTTTGGCCATATGAGATTTGAACATATTTGCATCTTGAATCTGATGCTTCTTCATACTTTGTAGGTGTTATTAATCATTTTTGACTCAATCATAACTCTGATAGAATGCTTGATGTTAGGAATCGCAGCTTGTCTTGATGCTATTCACTTTGACTTACTCCCTCGGTCCAGAGTATTTGTCGAATTTGATTTTTCTAGTGAAAGGCCAAAAGTTTGATCTTCAATTAAATAAAAATTGCGTTGCATATTAATACAATGAAATAATTTTTATTAGCTTTTTACATGATAAATCTAATGAAATTATTTTTGTATTGAAATGCATTGCAAATATTTTTAATTGATGCTCAAAGTTTGCCAAGTTTGACTGAATATAATTTTATACTCTGTAATCTAACTGGATGAAAACTTGGGATGGAGGAAGTATAATATAACAACCTAGTAACTTCACTGTCTCCACTTTTACGTAATAAAAATGGTGGCTCCATTTTCCATACTTGATGCATCTGAAATCTTACCGTGTGACCTTTTTGTCATGTAGATTGTTGGCTTTGGGAGTCAGGGAGTACAATACAGACTGGAAGGCTATTCAACAGCAATTTCTCCCTTGCAAATCTAAGCATCAGGTCATGTAGATTGTTGGCTGTGGTGTTGACTGTTTTCATTTTTTTACTGATTCTTGTACTTTACTTTTGCAAAATGTGGTATCCATACTATATTTTGTGCAGATTTTTGTCAGGCAGAAGAACCGTTCATCATCTAAAGCCCCTGAAAATCCAATAAAGGTAACCAACTGTAATTTCTATGGATAACAATTGAGACTAAAGTTTTGTTGGGCATCCACATTTCTAGCTTCAGATTAATTGGTTGAGCGCTGAATTTCTTTTACATTACTTTTTTCCTTGCCAAGTAGTCTCAGACTCTTAAGTCTTAGTGTGAATGGAATGGATTGTTTAAAGTTTATTCTAATAATCTAACTTTCTTGTTTAATCACCTTTCTTCTACAAATAAATACATTTATTTGTAATATGACATTGTTTCATGTGCTTTCACTCAAATTTTAGTGGTTCGTTTTGAACTAAGAAGGCATTGGGTAAAATAAAAAAAGTATGTGTTCTGAAATTTTTAGCAGCATTGGGAACTGATTTCCAGAAACAGTGCTCTATGTTTTTAAACATAGGGGTCACGCTGCGTACATCCAGCCCCTCCTTACCCTGCAATGGGCGGGAGCCTTTGAGGCATTGGGGTGATGTTGTAATTGGGATCTGATATTCTCTTGTTAAATGAAGTTGTCCAGGCAATGGAAAAATATCTACCATTGCCATCTTAAGGAATATTTTATGCAGAAATCCATTAAATATTATTTATTGAGATATGGTTGTGATGTTGGAACTTGCATTAGTTTGTTCAGATTCGGTCATTTACTTTTATTGACACGATTGAAATTGAGCATTGGCGTAAGTTAACACAAAAAAAATCAGATTTTATAGTCTTTTGAACATTCAGATGCATGTTGTCTATAATATGAAATTTGTTAATCCCTATGTCCCAAAATAATGAGAAGATTATTCAAGGATGGAATGAGTACACTTTTTTGACTCAAGTTCTCGCGGTGGATTTACAAAAAAAAAGGAACAAATTCTCCATCTGTTAGCAGCTTGGGCTTTGGGGATTTGATATCCACTGCGCTTATGTTTAAAGCATTAATTTATCATGTTCTGGCCTTGATTTTCTCAGAATATGTTTAAATGTTATTTTGCATATTAATATTAATCCTGAAGTTACTCCTTGATTATGACATCATGTAGGCTGCCCGGAGATTAAAGAATTCCCCATTGACTTCAGAAGAGATTGCGCGGATTGAGGAAGTACGTAAAATCAATGTTTTCGAATATGAAATCAAATAAAGTAATAAATACACGAGTGGTCTACAGAGGCAACGAAAAACAAAACCGGAGGATTTCATCCTGAAACGCAAAGTTTGTGGCTGACAGATATTGCACACCATACTTTGAATTGGTCAAAATATGCCGACTTTCTTACGTTTCGTGGAGGATTATATCCAAAATAAATAAATTTTAAACCATAATTCAAATATGTTTCCCAAACCTTCTGAGTTCATATACCTACATTGTTCAGGGTTTGAGAGTATTTAAACTTGACTGGATGTCAGTGTGGAAGTTTTTTGTTCCGTATAGAGATCCTTCTTTACTACCTCGGCAATGGCGTATTGCTACTGGAACTCAGAAGTCATATAGATCAAATGCAGATAAAAAGGAACGGCGGCGTCTATATGAATCACAAAAAAGAAAGTGCAAGGCTGCAGCTTTGGAAAATTTGCACCCATCATCTGAAAAACTGGTAGTCTTTTGAGTTCCTTCAATTTCATAGTGCTCTTGTTTAATCCACATTTCCAACCTGACTGACAACATTCTTCATTATCGTCATCTTTTTGGCTTAATACCAACTATAGTTGAATTGGTAGATTATTTTTGTAAGATCAATCAATTCTCTAAAATTAGCTTAAAATGCTGCCCTTTCTGACGCATCCTCCTTACAAAGGGATTATGAGATTAAATTTCAAAGAGGTTACCAGCGTATAAGTTGTTCCACTTGCATGTAAACATATCATGAAATGGTCATAAGGTTACGTTGTTGTCATAATCATGTCCAGTTACAGTACTGATATTGTAAAATCAGCATGCACATAATGGTGCATACTACATAACCAATGGTTGAGATTAATGAAATCAGAAATGAAGCTACTTAAATGTTTTTAGCAGCTTCTTTCAAATACTTAAGTCTGGTTTAAGTTGATACATAACACAAATGTTTGTTACAGTATCATTGGGGCCTAAATGTGCGTGTGTGTGTGCGTGTGTGTGTTGAGAAACTCCTTTCTTGAGCCATTTCCAATATCACATAATGACTTGAACTGTTCTTTTGTAGGACACTGGCTCTGCTGATAATTTTGGAGAAAAGTACAGTGCGGATGATTGTACTGATAAAGATGGTGAAGCTTATGTCCATGAGGCATTTTTGGCAGATTCGAGGGCTGGTCTTCCAATCATCTCATCAGAAGCCCCTCTTCCTGATATAGTGGATGAAAGTTGCCCTCATCCACCAAAAGTGGATGGTTCTCGAGTTGGAGAGAAAATAAACGAACTTGGCTGTAGTGACCATCAACCCCAAATCAACAGGTTTCCAGTTGCTTTAAAATACTCCCACTATTGACATAATCTATATCTTATGGTCTTTTTGGCGGATAGAAATTGGAAAATACTAGGAAAGATGAAGGAAACAAAAGTTGGGGGGAAGGGGGGAGATAAAATGTAAACTCAAAATTAATACATTAAGTTTAGATATTTGTTCAATTTTTTTTTATCTATATATTTATTTCTATTATTGATATTGTATTTGTAGAGAATGAACTGATTTGACCACATAAATAACACCAAATCTGGTATGAAACAAAAAATTAAGGACATGCCAAAATGAATGTTTGGGGGGGGATAGTGGGACAGATGGAATAACACTCTCTTAAAAGTCTCAAGTATATTTTATTTTCCTTGGAAATTTCTTGGGTGAAGTGGAACGTAAAAAAATAACTTCCTAGGGTCCCAACATACCTTTACTATGCTGGACATTTAATATTCTCCAGTTGAACTATGTTTCTCATGTGATATCTCAGCTCATCCCGCACTGAGGTGCTGTATATGCGACCATATCGAGCTCGAAAAAGTAGTACCACTCGCATGGTAAAATTATCCCCAGGGCTTCCTCCTGTTAGTCTTCCACCTACTGCTCGCGTTATGTCATGCTCGGCATTAAAAACCAACCAAAGTGTTTTAGCACAAACAAGGTTTTCTTCTGCGGCTAAAGTTGCTAATTCTACAAAAGAAGTCCTTAATAACACCACTGAAAGCGGTAGTACAAATCACAAGGAGTCTGAAGTCCTCAGGGATAGATGTGTGGCTGAAGAAAAGGCCTGTCCAGATCTTCAGATGCATCCGCTGCTTTTTCGGGCTCCCGAAGACTGTAATTTACTGCATCAAGGAAATTCTGGCCCTGATGCAAATAGTTCATTCACTCTTTTTCCAGGCAGCCCACCCCAGCTAAACCTAAGTCTATATCGCCATACAAACCATGCTCTCAATGTTTTAAACAAGGCTTTGAAGCCTAATGGTAAAGCTTCTACATCATCTGGTCTATGCTTTCATCCACTTCTTCAGAGAACCACTGATGAAAATTCTGTTGCCCAACCCTCTGCTAGTTCAGATTTACCAAGGGAAATGTTTACTCAACCTATTCCAAATTATAGTGAACGAACTGAGATTGAGATGCACCCGACTCTTATGCCAAGAAAAGAGAAAGCTTTAGAAAAACGTGTTTCAAGATCNCCCACCCCAGCTAAACCTAAGTCTATATCGCCATACAAACCATGCTCTCAATGTTTTAAACAAGGCTTTGAAGCCTAATGGTAAAGCTTCTACATCATCTGGTCTATGCTTTCATCCACTTCTTCAGAGAACCACTGATGAAAATTCTGTTGCCCAACCCTCTGCTAGTTCAGATTTACCAAGGGAAATGTTTACTCAACCTATTCCAAATTATAGTGAACGAACTGAGATTGAGATGCACCCGACTCTTATGCCAAGAAAAGAGAAAGCTTTAGAAAAACGTGTTTCAAGATCATCACAAATTATTTCCGATTCTGAGCTGATGTCTCAAAGTACATTTAAGAGACCTAGTACTGATATTGATCCAAGTGCTCAAGCAATGGTCACATCCAATGAAACTGATATGGTAAACAATGCTGATGACATATCAGCCCAGTCTCTTCAAGGAATTGTGATGGAACAGGAAGAGCTGAGTGACTCAGAGGAGGAAGAAGAAAATGTGGAGTTCGAATGTGAGGAGATGACCGATTCAGAAGGAGAGGAAGAGATTCTTCCGTCTGTGCAGATGAATGATGAACAAATTGAGGTACCTTTTCATTATTTCTTCAACAATTCGAACATTTTAGTCTTGGACAATACAATTTTTTATAAACCTGCAGTACTAACTTTGCCTGAAAAAAAGAGTCACGAATCTGATAATAACAGCTTTATAACCATATTTTTTTCAAGACTGGTGGATTATCTTTATAAATACTTTGCACTTGAAGCTTATTAATATCTTGGTGCATAATTTTCCTCATTTTTGGCTTCTGGGATGCAAAGGAAAATATTGCACTATTACTGCTGCTGCTGCTGCTGCTACTAACTACTATCAGTAACTCCCACTATTATTTTCGAGATCAACTCGGGGGATATTTGGGGAGGCAGAAGCACGGGGAGGAGATAAGTTAGTGCTCCAACCTTATGATGGTTTTGCTAATTTTATAATACTCCGTATAGAACTTGTGCCCTTAAAAATTACTTCCAATTACTACCCACCCCACACCCTTTGACTCTCACTTCTCTATCACCCCTTTCAATTTGCTTCTGTCTCCACTTTCCGGCTCTCCTTATCAAAAAAATACTTTATATCTTGAATCTTTTTCTTGTTTCTTTTCTGGTTTTGGAGCCAGAGATGGCCGACGCCACCACGCAGAAGCACGTGAGGATGGCTCATCTAGGAAATCACGTGTTCATTCCGTCAATTGAAATCTCTCCAGTCTCCACTTCTGCATGCTGATTGTGGGAGATTCCAATCTGGAGATTCTGGCCTCCTCCCGCACTAGGGTTCTTCAGTCTCTCAAGCTTGATAAGTGCTCTGGATTCTTCACAGATGGTCTCTTGCATAATAGGGGCAATTTTGAAAAATCAAAACATTTATAATTTTATATTAAGAGTCGTGCCAAGTCAAAACGAAAAGAACCAACATGGATGGAGGGAGTACTATTTTTGGCTAATTACTTTAAATGTCATCCTAATTTGATCAAAGCCTTTGCACCACTATAGGCACTATTCTTGAAGAAGAAATATAAGAAACAAGCATGTCCAAGGGATAGCTGTTTCCTTGTTGACTAATATTGTTGTGGGTCCAAATTTTCCCCAGGAGACAGGTAGAGCTGCTAGTGATGAAGGGTCAGATGAACATGTACCACCAGTTACACAGGGCATTCCGGAAGAAAATTCTTGTAGCCCCTCTGAAGACACCATCACAACATGGCTAGGGCCTTGCTCCTCATCTCTGAATACAAATTCATTTCCCCCTGTTTCACGACGAGCAAATCCCAAGGTTACCACCAGGCAAAAGATGGCTGGTTCCAAACGATCAGGGCTGAATGCTGAAATGGAGAAGCCTGCTTCAGGAAACGAGCAGGAAGAGTTTAGTTTGGGTGACTTTGTTTCCTCACTCAAAAACTCAAGAAAACGTACACGTAACTCGGGTTCTAAGACCAATGTGGGACGGTCTGGGAAAGGAATGATGCCAAGTTTGAATTCAGACATGGGCATAGAAAGCTCAAAGAAAGCAAATGAAGTTGAAATCAGTTGATCCTATGAAAAAGCTCTCTTCTCTACTGAGCTTACTCTTTGGTCATATGTTCATTCTCAATGCCACCATGTTTTTTACACGACATTGAGGATAAAATGTGCTCTCTCTCTCTCAGGTTAGCCTAGACAAAGCCATGGTTTTTGCAGTGAATGGCTGACACTCTCCTCCAGGGAGTTCAAGGCAGGTTTGAGGTAAGGACTTCAGAAGCATGAGCAAAAGCTATGGTCTTTTTCGTGAATATGCAGGCCTCATATGACCTGGGCCTGGGCCTGGCCCAACGGGACACATTCCGTTCATTTGTTGCCTGTTGATTAGATATAAAATGGTGGCAGCAAGACCTTATGAAAACAGTGCACGAGAAAAACGAGCTTTTGTTTAACAAAATCAAGAAAGGTCATGTGAATTGTTTTAGGGCATTAATTGAGAATTGTATGTATCTTGTGTATAAAATGGAAAAAGATCCTACTATTTTTTTCTTTTAAATTTGAGCAGCAGTGTTTAGTGCATTAGGAGAGTACATATATTATGTCATTTTTATGTTGTACCAACTTTTTAATGTCTGTTCCACCATGTTTTAAAAAATCACGCATACCAAATACACACCCACCTTAGATTTATATATGTGTGAGGATTGTATTGGAAAAATATATAGGTGTATTTGATTTGTTATTAGAAGAAGAGGTGTTTTAAAAGAAGAGGTGAGGTTTATATTACGAGTAGAAGGAAAATGTTTTGCTTTGGAATATTTGGCTATACGGCTAGGTTCTATGGCTACTTCTTTTGAATGGTCACGGAAGTCACTACCCCTCTATGGACAGCTATGGTGCTTCGTTCATAAAATAGATAGTTTATACTCTTCCTAACCTCCCCGTGAACTCCCAACCAAGTTCCGACCTCAACCCATCACCCACCCATGTCAATTGCACCCTGCGAGTTTAGTTCACTTTGAGATTAGTTTTTTTTACATCAAAGTCAACTAAACTTGCGAAGTGCAATTGACGTGGGTGGGGAGATGGGTTGGAGTCAGGACTGGGTGGGAGCATTTACTGGAGTAGGAACCATCAATTTTATGAACGGAGCACCGTAGAGGGATAGTGCCTTCCGTGACCACTCAAAAAGAGTGACCATGAAACGGTTGAAACCTAGTCGTTTACAATAAAGTTCTTATTTCCTTTTGAGGATGGTACATGCATTTTTCTCCCCTACTTAAATTTCAATCACTTCATTTGTTAGGTTTTCTATTGAACTCTTGTGAAATACTCCCAAATCAAGAATTTGGCTTTGGGACAGTAGAAGTATATGCATATTTCTTGAAATTCACTTGATAATCACGAGATTTTGTGAAAGGTTTGAGTATTGTAATTTAGGTTAAATTGAAGTATTAGTTCTAACTAACTCTCTTTGGAAGATTACATGGGCGAGGAGGAGGATAGATGTAGGCAATTGACGTTGTGACTTGTGTGGTTTATAAGATTTCAGAAGGGGAAGGTGGCTTTGAGTGTTCCCCACATTAGGGGACGAGACAATTTAATCTTTAGCGATTGAACTCTCCGGATAATGTATGAAGTTATTAGATCGATTGGGTTCAAATAGAAGCGGTTTGGTTAATTTTGAACACACTCAAAATTTGTACTTGAACATCACAATAGTGGGCGAAATACGATCTAAACTTCAGCGATTAGAGACTCCGTATGTTTTATCAGACTTATTTAGATCTATTGGAAGTAGTTCGATCGATTTGAGACGCTCTCAAAGTTTCCACTTCTTGAATGTTACGGAGTATTGTACATTCTCCGCAGAAGTGGTCTTATTATTCATGCTAATGATCACCAATGCCCTTGCAATGAGGGCCATTGAGGGGTGAGAGGGTGCAGGTATGAAAGTTCAGGGATAGAGATAGACCAAAGAGTTTTGCAAGGTAATTAAGACAAACAAACGCTTTACGCGTGTCAACGAATACATGATTATAAGCGCTTTTTTGTAATGATTATATGCTACTTCCTCCGCCTAAATTTAAATTGCATATTTCGATTTACGATGTTTGACTAGAGTTATTTTCAAATTATTTTATATGAAAAATAGCGTAGAATTTAAAAATAATAATTACATACTCCCTCCGTTTCAATAAACACTTCCCCTTTTTACTTTTAGCCAAAATAAGAAAAAGTATATTTATGGTTAACTTTCTAATTTTGTCTCTGATGTTATAATTAGATTATTAGTGAAAAATTATAATATGATAGATAAGGTATGAAAAATAGGAGTAAAAGTAGTTTTTTACAGAGTAATAGAAAGTGAAAATGTTTTTGAGAAATGTAAAAAAAATAAAGAGAAATGGTTTATTGAAACGAAAGTATTTAAAAACTAAATCAAAAGATCTACAAAACTAGTGTTGATAAAACTATATTATCTTAGTGAATTTCTAACGAAAATAAAAAAAAGAAAGTGAATAAAATTTAACCCTATAAACAGGCAATTTAAATTGAGACGAATGGAGTATTATAGTTGTAGAAATAAAAGTTTCAAAATTGGGTTATCAAATGTTTCCTTTTGATTTGTGGTAAATGTTTTAGGTGATGGCTAAATATACTCAAGGGCCTAATAGATAAACATTGCAAACAGTCTCTAGGTTTGATGCTGAGTGGTATATTAAAAGAGAAGAAAGTAGTACATAAGCTTATGGGATTCAAAACACAATATCAACCAAGGACCATGCTAGGGTACCACCACATGGGTGCTCCCATGCTTCGCACAGACAAACACAAACGATAATTGTCTGTGCGACACAGACAATTATCGTCTGTGTTTGTCTGTGCGAAACATGAGTGCACCCATGGTAGCACCCATGTGGTGGCACCCTAGCATTTTCCATCAACCAAACATTTATCAAGTAAATCATCATTGATAGTGACTGGAAAGTACAAAATTAGTACACTATTAACCTGCAAAAAGGAGTCTCTCCATACTTAGATCACTGATGGTCACAAAAAGGCAAAAAAGAAAGTTGTATCTATCTAATGTACTAAAAACTCGGGCACTCCGTATAACGTCACGCAGAGATTAGGGGAAAAGGGCACGTGTTCTCTATTTTCTTCGTATTTCGAAGATGGGGTTGGGGAGGGAGGAAGCTTACTACCGCCTATTTTTGGGTGGTTTGACTTTGTAAATCCTTACAATCCAATTTGATGTGGTGAATGCCTCTTCCAAGTGTTGAAGCTTTATGTCCTTATTCCCAATTTCAACCCCTCTAGCTCGGTCATATCTATCACAAGAGAAAGGGGATTTGTGAAAGGTTAATAACTACGGAGAATTATTCATTATTCAAGTAAAGAAAGACTAAATAAACTCACATACTTGAAAATCAAAGGAGGCGTTTGATTCACCAAAAGTAAGAGTAACCGTAAATTATGTAATACTCCATATATCTTTCAAGACGTTGATGTAAGATAGGCTATTAAAGATCACCATGGTTCTTTTGACACTGTGGTTTGGTGCTATAATATGACACTGAGGCCCTAGGTGCTCCATTGGGCCCGAGATTGAGTCCTATCCCCTAACACACCCTATAAACCACTCTGCATTTGTGGGGTGAATTACGAGGGTAGGGCCAGGTTCAGGGTTCAATGGCATGTTGTAGGGGGGCCAGAAATGGCTCAATGTCATATATGACATCGAATGTTGGTGTCAAAATAACCAAGCTCATTAATGGAAATGTAAGGAACCTTGAACTTTTTGGCTAACAAAATGGGATATTACTTACTCCCTCGGTCCCACTAAGTTTGGGACAAGGGAAAGTGACAAATTTAGGGAAAATGAAGTCGTTTGATTGATAATGAAAATGCAAAGTATGCTGATTTTGAAACATAAATACCACAAATATGGTATGTGACAAACGTTTTGGGATGGACCAACATGGTAAAATAGGACAAACATAGCTGGAGGGATCACAGATTATGAGCCTGTTTGGAAATGGCGTTAGAGATTAGCGTCAGCGTTTTGGATAAAATTTTATTTTAATGGTGCAGATTACTTTGAAAATGCTAACGCTAAACGCTGCCCGTAGATAGCCTTTTCAAAACGCTAACGCTAATCGCTAAAGCTATTCCCAAACAAGCCCTATATGGTTAAATTGTTAGGGACAAGGTTATTATAGTCTAAAATCCTCTTACAATGCCTAACTATATGGCCCCGTTTAGTACACGGAATTCAAATTATGGAATTGGAATTGAGGACTTTAATTCCAATTCTGGTGTTTGATCGTACAAAAATTATGTGAATTTGGAATTGATAGTGCAAAAAATGAATTGGAATCGGTAGAATTCAATTCTATGGAATTGAATCCAATGGAATTTCAATTCCAATTCAATTCCAATTCCGTCAATTTCGTATACCAAACGGACCCTATGTTTGGTTCAAGGAAGTTGGAATGAAAATAAAAGGAAATGGTTTCTCTCTTTTTCCTCACCAAAATGGGAGGAATTTGTTTTTCCCTACTCTTAGTACATTTTTCCTTCTCAATTTCTTTTCCTTCCACTTTTCTTTTCTTTTCTCTCTAACCAACCAAGAAAACTTATTTTCCATCTCATTTTCTTTTCTTTTCCGTTTCAAATTCCTTGAACAAAACATAGTGTAAGATACCTAGGTAATCACATTACCTCAACATCACCTAATTTTCTTACATGGAGGTGTAGGTGCAATCAGATTACCAAAATCATTCAGTGAAATGAAGATTTGAACACAAGAATGTAATCTCCAATTACTTTTCTCACATTACCAGGTTAATGGGAGATACCCCTAGACCAAATGCCCCCTAAGTGTCTTATTAATCTTTTAAAAAGAATAGCATTTAAGCCTGGTTCATAGGTCACATAAAGACAAAATTAATATCAAATTCGTTAATAAACTCAGCAAATATACAACTTCAGAAAGCATTTCAAGTATTGTGTGATTTAAGGCTTACCCTGGAGGTTTTCCATACTCTGTTGTCAGCTCACCAAAGCGATAATAACAAAGCTTGTACCTGATCAAAATAGGAAAGAGTGTACACCAAAACAATCAGTTGTATGAAGCCAAACATATTGTTTGTGTGGGAGATATTTTCAGAATCATAATTCATCTGCAAAATCATATTAATCTCTACTTCACTCTTATAAGACTGATTAAATCAATTCACAATGAAGCCACATTTATAATATAATTTCTTGATTTTCTTCAAAATAAAAGAATTAAATTATTACAAATGAACAAAAATATATATTGCATTAAACGTAGGTAGTGGAATTTAAAAAATAGGTAAAATCTTGCAAGAAGACTTACATTAGACAGTTCAGCATCTTCGGAGCAGCACCTTTGTCAACACGATACTCTCCATTCACTAGATAATCTGGTTCTTTTATAACTGGAAACACTCCCCCTCCGATCCGTACCATCCATAGAAACCTGAAAACAAATTGATTCCCATTCAATGTACACAAGGATATGAAATCACAGGTGAGGTCAGCTATGGATTAGAGGAAAATAAGAAATGTCACAGCCAATAATCTGCTTCAACCATTCCTGATTGATAAATACAAATGCATGTTTAAATTTTATGGAAATGAATTCCACCAAAATGTGCGGGGGAAAAAAAGGAACAAAATCCTTACTTGTTTATATCATCAGAT